GGCGGCTGACTGTCAACTTCTTCGAGAATGACAGCTTTTTAGCGATATCTTCTTCACTGCACATCCAAGCCTCCATGGTTTTCCCTAGCAGATGTCCTACACTAATGCGGATCGACAGATTCTTTTGCACCATGAAAATAACCATTATGGCATTATAATAGAGAAGTAGGCGCGCTTACATCACGTTAATGAAGCTGATAAGATAGACGCGGAGAAGCGTCTGGCAGGCTGCTGTAACGCGGCAGCCAACGACCACATTGTGGGTGCACGGACAAAAGCTCACATCTTATCAAGTTGAGTCAGTTGTCGCGCCGCAACTGTAACGGAGTGGCACGTTACATGAAACTGTCATTAAAACTATCTGACAATAAAGAATATTACGTCGAATATTCTTTTAACAATATCACAGACATGGTGATATAGTTGGGACGAACGAAGGGTCTACTCATTTGGTTGATATCGTAATGATATCAACCCACCAATCGCTGCTAGACGCGCGCAATGAGTGGTGCGTAGACGTCATCATACATATAGTTATATTGGTATAATTAAGTCAGGACAACAGAGATTCAAGGAGTTATAGGACTTCATTATAATAATACAGTTTTACTTTAACCAAGAGACTAGTCTGACTACTTAGTCTCCCTTCCTTCCTCTGTGTTCCTTAAACACCTAGCAGAGCACTGTCGACCATTGTCGTCAGTGGAAGTATACTCCGTACTGGTGAACCAGTACGTAGTCAGCAGTGCCCCGTTATAGCAACCGCACAATAAATCTCTTTTACACTGGGCTTGCGGCCAATCCAAGTTGTTGCAAGATTCATTGCTGTTCTGTAGAACAAGACAACAACTTAACACATTTTTGGTCCTTCCTGTGTGCCCAAGCTCTTGAGAACGGTGGATTTTCGTCGGGGCATTCGACAAATGACTGTACTGGGCCTTCAAAATAGGAAAGGAAAAGAGGCACATGGAAATGTATAAGAAGTCGATTGGAAGACCTAAATGATACAAGTGATCATATTTGGAATGAAAAGAGGTCCCATACACCGCCATCACCCCCACCATCCGAAATGAAAATACTTATCTTCGCAACTCGGATCGGTTTTACATCACAAATGGAAATGGGCCAATAAAAGTAAAGTACGAGTATAAGACATTGTTTTTAATCGAATTGCTATGACGCCGGCAGCATATTATAGCTTTTACAACATCTTTTGATCAAAAGGGTAACTTGATAATTAGCTATGTTTTGCGAAAGGCTTCAATGTAACGGGGTAGTCTGTTCCATGAAATTACATCATGCGAAATGGTAGTAAATAATATTAGGTTGAACATTCTTTTACCAGTATCACTTAATATAGTGATATTGTAAAGAAAACCCAAAGGTCTACTCATTGATCGATATCATGTTTATATTGCTGCTAGACGCGCTCAATAGGTGGTACGCACTGACCTTCGCTGCTGTCAGTGAGAGTTGGATCCGTACTGGTAGTACGGCACGTACCGATCGGTGCCCCGTTACATTCCATGTACCACGACGCGCACAAGATATCTAGTAGGTCAATGATGCATCATAGTCGCTACGATCGTGTAACTATACGGCTGAAAGAGAGGCGTCTTCGCCTGATATGTTTAACCTTGACCCTATATCAATAGGTCGCAATTTTGCACACAAGGCAGTCATTCTCCTCACGAGAAATCCAGTGTCGACTTTTACACCATACAGGCTGTAAAGCTATTGCTTAGCTCTTCCGGTACTGACATCAACAATTCGACGGGAAGACTTTAAGAGCGTTTTTACACAAGTGAGACAAAAATCTTGGCACGTTAAAAACTTCTCACATGTAGAACGACATGGGAATCGAGATCGTACAAGCAAAAAATTGGTTTTATTTGGTATCTTTCACGGATAGTAAACGCTATAGCTGACAATTATACACTTGCGGAATTGATGATGCACGCACTCTTAGTTGCCTTGCTTTTTAAGCTGTTCATCTTCGGCAATTGTGTTAACCATGTGTTTCTATTATCACTTCTTCACGGGTAAAGCAAATCAGTTTTCGTGTAGCATGCGTCGTGTCAGTGGTTGTACCACACCACCGCCACGCAGCTAGTTTCCTGCTGATCTGCTATTGTTGATTTGGACTGGCTAGGCATTGTCAGCGAAAGAACACAGAAAGGTCGCAACAGCGCTCTGCACGATTCGTGTCCACGTAACAGCATCAACGGGAAGAGGCCAAGGAGGAATTTTGTTAACAAGGCGAAACAAGGCATAAACTAAAGATTATAGTCAACACCTGGATGATTGCCATTGTCTTGGGCGAGCAACAAGAGTTGTAGCCCAGTGATGGCAAAAGCTTGCTGTAAGCGTCTGGTAAATATCAAGTGACTGGCGAATTTCATACCTTCCAGCGCCGCTACAGCTGACACTCATCACGTTGCTGCAGAAGCCTACAAAACATTGACCATGTGAAAAGTTAACTGCGCGGACTGTTTGCAGTGTCTATACGCCAGAAAATACTCGCTACATCGTTTTTTGCCCGCAAGTCTTCATTAAAACCTCCCTTTGACTGTTCCAGTTGTTGATTGTATCACGAAACGATAATGCGCCTCGATAATGCGCGCTAAGAAGGTATTTTAACTCCATTGTTGTGCTGATATAAAGCAACAATCGGTAAATGAGACCTCAACTACTTCGACTGGCATATTCAAGACTCCGCAGTCAGGCAAACACACGCGCCTACACAAAGCTCGACGTTCATAGCCGCGCCTCTTTGGGCCTGACAAAGTTGTGGAGAGAAGGACAACCGTCTATTTCGGTCCCGTCGATACTAATCGTCCACTCGAATCAGTGGTAAAATGCAATAAACGTTTTCTGAGCATGCACCGCTCCGTTATCGTTTAGCTCAGCTTATACACCATAAAGTTGAACGACAGTTACATATCTTGTTGTGCTGGGTATAAATCCCTCATTGTGATTCCGGGTCGTCCAGAAACATCGCAATGATAGGCTTCCATACTACCTTGTGACAAAGCCAGACGCTTCTTGCATCTATGTGGTCAAATTGTCGGTACGCATTGCAAGAAATGGTGCTCGTCAAATTCAGCGATTTGAGGTTCAAATGAACCGTCTGAACAAAAAAGGCAACAAACATACGCAAATCGTCGTCCGTCTTGCCGAATGAGGCATGAAGAACACGGCAAGCCAACAAAATTGTACGGCGTCAGCCACAGGATAGGTGCATCGGACCTACCACATCGCTTGCGTCAGAGGAAGGCATTCAGCATGAAGATTAGCTGCGTTCGTGAAAGTCAAAGTCAACGCGTGTTGTGGATAGAGAAGAAAAGCGATTGACGAAATGCAGCTCGACGAACCTCTCAGTCATATAAATGGGAGATTTAAGAATCCTTGGAATGTACAGGAATGAAGGGTATTGCGCGTAGAAAGCTTGTCCAGTCGTACTGTTCGTCGTAAAGATGATATTTTGTGCCAATTTTTAGCGAAAGTAAAACTGGCTGATGAATGGGACGACAAAACTACATATTTACGATGAAAGAGACGACTAGACAAGCTGTTACATAGATGACTTTGAAGTAGTAAGCTTTGGGTGCCAAGTCCGCCGGAAAGACTGCATTCTTGTCATCCCGTGTTACTACCGGGCAGTCCCGGTTTAACGTTGTTTCCGACGTTATTACACGTAAAGAGGATGCTTATTAGACAGTCGTCCTAACGCCACTCATTACGTTTTCATAGCGCACCTTGCACACAGCCAATGCGTCGGCGCGCCTCGAACTTACCACTTTAATCGAAATAATTGATACGATGCTCAATACTGCTTCTTGCTACGGACAAATACGTTCTGGTGTATGCTCTTCCTCAATAAAGTAGACGCCTTTAGCGTTCTGTGCAATTGAGGATCTCCCTTGTTATAGATGAGCAGCTGCAGTAGCTAATGCTTATCGGCAACGGACTCCCTCAATTCCGATATCGGGTGAGTGATATGTCAAGGAGATTCAAGTGTTTGTTGAATGTGGGAATGTTCTCGATTTTAAAGACCCATGTATTCGGTGGATCACCCAGACCGAAGGGTGCTGAGCTGCAGGATAGCCGAACATAAGCAAGTTATCCTATGTTTTGTAGCGCACGTGTCTCATACGGAACCATCCCAATATATCGTCGTGTCACCCTTGAGAAATGGAAAAGATTATGTCGAGTCATTGCATTATCAGCGAGTCTGTGTTTGTAATCTGGTTCTACAAGAATGACGCGTTCAAACATGCACAAACAATCCCTCTCAGGGCAACTTCACGCGCATTTTTACGCACAGAAATCATGGTCTATAATCTTTTAAGACTTCCTCACGCTCGTTTGTCATCTTGAATCGACATATGGTATCTGCTGCGAGTCTTGACGTATTTCGTAGATCTCGGTCTTTAGGACTGCACGTTGGTGTTGTTAAGTCACTCTATAGTTTTGTTTGCCAAGGTCACACAAATTCTTAATATTTGCGCAATAGATATTTACGAGAATCGATGTATACAATATGTCGTGCTTTTTTGTGATTTTGTGTGACACAGCTTTGCCTACCACTAGTGACTTCTTACTGCTGCACCGTGCCTACTTCTTTCCTGCAAATCTGTTTCCCAGATGGTCTCGGAATCGCCGGCTATAGCTACTATCTGACTTCCCCTGTGCCCTGACCGACGCTGTACACTGCGTTTTGCATGAATGTGCCGCGCCCACAAGAACAACCCTTGCTTATGGACATCGACACATCGAAGCTTAAATAGCGAAAAATTCGCCGTTCGCACGTTACTCCTAGCCATAGGCCGATCGATGTACATGCGCAAATGTTTACTTTGCGACATACTGCATCGTATATGCATAAGAATTTACCGTGGGATCGTATGCGGCAGATGTACTTGTTCGACTTATGGACAAGGTGGCAAGTGCAGCTGGTGGCCTGGTCGTGTTCATCGGTGGATACTGGTTCGCGTCATCTACAACAACAGCATCAAGATGATCGTCGCCATGCAGCTCACGGCAATCTTCATCGTGCCGCTCGTCGCGCTTGAGCTGCTCGCATCTTGAAGTCCATTCGAAGTGGTGTCGATCGATGACCCCATCGATCGAATAGCACTGCATTTTGTATCGAACGCATCGATGAAGTCAGTCTGCAGTCGAGCGTTGATCTCCACGATTTTGCAGTCGCCGAGTCCCGCTGCTTCCAGCTCCTTCATGTATGCCGCGCAAGCTGCGCTGTCGCAGTACCCCTTGATCTCTTCCAAGGAGAGATTGGACAGGATTGAAGTAAGCTCGCCACCCGAATCCGATATGCACGTGGTAAAGTGCGGGCTAGCCATAAGCTCCATCAACTTTGACGAGGGGCAGATATCTTTCGCGCTCACGATGTCCACGAACGGTAGCAAGAGTATGAGAGCTGTAAGCAACGGCATAGTTCTGTGTAGCTGAGTTGACTGTAAGAGAGTGAATTCAATTATGGGATTGTTTGTTGTCGCTTGCATGTTAGAGGAAACGCTTTGGACATCATCACCCTTTTTTAAGGTTCTCCGAAGACTCGCACGTACTGCCACTTTCGACCGTACGACTATCCAAGAAAGAGCGACGAGTGGAGCCCGTCACCTACATACTTAGTACAACGCAGTGGTGGGCAGCTGTGACTGACCGATGTACCCGCTCAATCGTTAAGCGCATTGTTGCCGATATGGCACCGGAAAGCTTTTGTCAAGCTTACAACCCGGGGCAAGTCGACAATATCGTCAGATGCTTCTAGAAATGCTCACACGATCTGCCCATATTATCGATTTCTCACTTCTGCACGTGAGCATCGAAAGCAGTTGGATTGGCCGCGGAAGATGTACGAGTTGCTATGACGCTCATACTGTGTATCGATGTACTTCCGCATGTCGGTTGCAAATACAACGGATGTGATGGAAAGGATTCAAGTATCCATACGTCAATTCTGTCTATGTGGGTAATAAAAGCAGCGGATAGGATGCGAGCGACAAAGAAGGACATGGGCGTCTCGTCAGCTGTATTACAATTTGCGAGCAAATCGTTCGTTTTTTACGTGACAGAGCTACTAATTTGCGCTTATTAATACATTTGTTTGGTCGAAAACACAATTACAAGAATCTCTGCTGTTTCAATTTATCTTTTTATTGACATGTAATCGGTGCCAGCCACTTTGACGACTACGAAAAAGAAATAATGCTCCAAAAGTTTTATAGCTGAAGAATGGCGTAAGGCTTATGTAATCGAATTGGACAAAGTAAACACGTCGATCAAACACCCTTCACTTAGACATTCTGAATAGTTAGGTCGGCCAGATTTTATTCGTTTGGATAATAAATCAGGCATCGAATAGTTTCAACATCAGGTTTAGTGCCTTAGGTTGAATTACAAAAGTCTATTGCAATTTTGGCAAAAATAGGGTACGAAACATTAAAATACACAAAGTATACAAACGATGCGTATTTCGTGCTCGAGCATGGCTCAAATAAACTTGCTTGGATACACATCGAAATTGGAACTTTATTACAAATACGGATTCGAAAGTCGCAGCAATTTGCGCAAAAGATGGAGCCTTCGCGATGGTCTAGTAAAGTCAGCTCAATTTTATGCTTTTTCGTATCAGTATATTCTATACCGCGTACTTTTGTCAGCACAAAGTAAGATTTCCACAGAGTGTAACCTCGTGCGACGCGATCGTCAAGATACAATACGAAATCAAGCGCACCGACAATGTCGTGAAAGTAAGTTTGTGTACGGCTAGTAGTTGTGCTACGTGTTCGACCAACTCACGAAGCGAAAGCTTGCTCGAAACGACGATCACTCTGTAAGATCGTGGTATATTGTCGTCTGCTGTTCAGATGATTGCTAGCGAGTAGCCCATAATGTTTATCTTTCGCTTACCTCTTAATCGTCACTCATGATCGGGTACAAAAATGTAGCTGACATGACACCAGGTATGTGTAGCGATGACACGTGCTAGTAAACTAGCACATGTGTCAAGTACAGGGTATCACGCGGTAAATCGATCCTTCGAGTAGCAATTGAGCTTATACAGCAACTGTCCACTCACGCGATGGCCTATGCTGTATAGTAAGTGAATAAATTGTGTTGCTTCTCCATTATGCGATTTGATTGCTTGCAAAAATATGAGCATCCCACTAATTTGCTTTGAAGCCGTGAGTAGCATCCAAATTGTCCAAAGCCTTTCGTGGTGTTTGTCACTGCAAAAATAGCGTGTCGAGGTTTATAGATCCAAGAAGGTTTGCATGACTTACGATTATAAAATGACTCTTATGTAACGTGCATGAGGTAGACGAACGAAGAATGCTCTGTTTGGCTGAATAAATTGTATTTCCCCATCGATAATATGCGTCGTTACGCAGATAAAAACTTGGTAGCAAGCTAAATCTAAAAGGTACAAACTACCAGCGGTGTCACAACAGCTTCCGTGCCTGTCTGCGGCCATCACGTGACAGCAAGGTATCAAGTATGTGCGTACGGTGATTGCTGCTTATTACGGCGTAAACACGCAAGTTCGCATCTGATGACTCCAGTAGACAGTTGTAGTTTGATCGGCTCGTGCCGGCCACAAAAGTAGTGGCCTTCCTACTTACATATCATTTGAGGCACCAATCGTGTACCGTCGTGCGTGAAAAGAGTATACATCCCTTATCCCCACATGTATACATATACGTCATGTTTTTATCAGATCCTAGAATAGGCCGAGCTCGCGCGAGTCAATTTACCTGCTCTATATACCACGCTTCGCCAGACGAGGGAAATCAGATATGGCCCAATGACAAAGTCTTATCACTTATATTCCTTCAATAGAGAGACAGCAGAGAAGCACAAGGAGGTGCGCGTGTCTTTTTCGGGAAGATATACCGGCTTAATAATGCCCACCGTGCGGAGGCCGACCCTATTCAGAAACGACAGCAAGAGCTCAATGGACAACTCCAAGTGTGGCTAGTGATACACACTATCGAGCTCCGTAATCTGACTCGGTTTGTCGACATTAACCGGATTGCAGCTTTAGCAAATAAAAGATTCCAACGGACTTTGTGTTGTGGGACTTAAAAACGCATACGCCTGAATCCGGAAGTCAACAATCTGGCGGACCTCGATGGCGTTGTCCGGAAACTATGGTTCGGGACGATGATGATTGTACTACATCCGAATGGCGGCCGTCGTCTGCAATATCTTCAGCGCGGAAAGCTCGGCCACACATTGGTTAGTTATACATTCATCGACCTCCAGCTGAGCAGGCCAGGCGAAGGGGTCGTTACGGAAGAGGGTTTCTAACATCTCGAAAATCTTGCCTGCCCTTTTAGCAGTTTTAGGAAATCGAAGAGGTGGCGGCGGGACGGCTGGAGCTTCAGGCAGCTGCAAAATATGAATCAATCAGCAGTTTGGCCACCTGAGCGTGTTCGGGAGTCATCGACACCTGCCGCTGCTTCACCATCAGCAAATACGCGCCTAAGTAGCTCTCTGCATTCATGCAACCGGATCCACGTCCGTCAGCGCCGCAATTTTGGATCACGAAACACCTTGAAAAGGGCGCTCGAGAGGATAGACCAAACCAACCCCGGATTAGATCATCGCGAGCACCCCAGTCGCGCGGACTAGAGGGTATAAGGTTTAAATAATTACGGCGAGACCCTGCCCGAGGAGACGACGGTGGATATAATTGCTATAGCAGAGGATATGGCGCTGCCTTTGCAGTCGACCGGTGTCAGGTTGCGGCAGCGGGTTCGCGCTAGCTTCTTACTGTTATGTCGAAGGAAAATTGGAAAGTGTATTGAATTAGTTTTCCTATGAACTTACTCGTCGTGTTATCTTCTTCTACCTTGTAGCTTTCCCTGATCTTGATGGATTCTAGAACATACACTCAAGGTAGTTCTAGAATCATCAGACTGCACGTGAACCGTTTACACCCTGTCGTATCTGTTATGTCGAAGGAAAATTGGAAAGTGTATTGAATTAGTTTTCCTATGAACTTACTCGTCGTGTTATCTTCTTCTACCTTGTAGCTTTCCCTGATCTTGATGGATTCTAGAACATACACTCAAGGTAGTTCTAGAATCATCAGACTGCACGTGAACCGTTTACACCCTGTCGTATCATCGCTGTCTTGTCACTTGTGCGTAGCAAATCACAGTTGGCTTTGTTGACCGTGCATTGACAGTGCACACATCAACACTCCCACTCACTGTTGATGCTCGGGTCCATCACGTACCTTGATGTCCATTCCGGCACGGAGGTACTGGAATCGCTTGGTGCCGAGTGCCTTCGTTAGTATGTCGGCAAGTTGATGTTCCGTCTCCTTGTAGATCACCTTTATATCACCGGCCAGAACTTTCTCTCGGACAAAGTGGTGACGTATGTCTACGTGTTTAGTCCGCGCATGGTATCTTGGGTTTGTTGCGAGAGCAATGGCTCCTTGATTATCCTCGTAGATGACAGTAGGATTCTTCTGCTCGAATCCGAGGTCAGCCATTAACATCCTTGCCCATAGTATGTCTTGAGTGCACATGCTTAGCGCCATGTATTCAGCCTCAGAAGTACTCAATGCAACGGTGCGTTGGTACTTAGACTTAAATATAACAGGGCCTCCATTAAGCACCAGCAAAACACCAGATACCGATCGACGGTCGTCCAAGCTGTTTCCCCAATCGGCGTCACTATACGCTGTTAGTTGTTGCTGTAGTTTGTCAACACTGTAGTGTAATCCAAAACCACTCGTCGAGCGGAGGTATCTTAGCACTTTGATCAGTGCCTTCCAGTGTTGTGAGCCAGGGTTTTCTGCAAATCGTCCAAGTTGGCTCACAGGAAATGCTGCGTCTGGTCTGGTCGTGGTCACTATAAACAGCAGTCGTCCCAGCAATTGGCGGTACGGTGTACGACTCATGGCTTGTCTTTCGACATCGGACTTTGGACTGTTTGCGCTGGACAGTTTCATGCTCTGATCACATGGGTTACCAGTTGGTCGGGCTTGAGTCTGTCCAAACATGTCTGCAGTCTCCTCGATGTATCTTTGTTGCGAAATAAACATCTCACGCTTCTTTCGGTCGTACATAACTTCCATTCCAAGCAAGTGCTTCACTGGACCAAGGTCTTTGGTTTGAAACCGCTGAGAGATTTGTTCTTTCACCTTGCGTACCGTGGTTGCTTCTTTTGCAGCCACAATCATATCATCAACGTATAAGCACACGTACGCCCAGCCTTCACCATCCTTTATCTTGTATATGCATCGATCAGCACCGCACGCGACAAATCCCATCTCCAGTAATGCATTGTGAATCGTCTTATTCCAGGCATTTGCAGCCTGCTTAAGTCCGTAAAGCGCGCGATTCAATTTAAGTACAAACTCGCTGCCAATTTTCATCCCTTTGGGTGGTAACAAGTATACTTCTTCTTGTAG